TTGGAAATCATATAGCAAATTTGATTCGTAGGCGGGGTTTGGAGGTCTATTTGAAATCTGCACCAGAACCCCCAAAGGTGCCTATATCTATTATTAATGTGAAGACTTGCTAAAATTCAACATATTATATGTTGAAATGTTTAAAATAACATTAGTTTTATTTGCTACTAATCATTAATTTATTGATGAACTTTATTCTGATGAATCTGATTGGATTGTAATTAAAGTAAATTAAATTATTTTATTTTTAAAAATAATTTAGAAAGAATTTTAAATTAATTTTCTAAATAGAATACTTTTTTGTTTCTTAAATCCTTGAAAAAAGCTACTAAATATCTATTTTATTCATTTATAGATGATATTTATTATATTTTTAAAACTATTCAAATATATTAAATAATAAATTAGCTTGAATAAGTAATAAGAACAATTATAAATCCCTTATAATTTTTTTTTTGATAATTTTAATAATTTTAATAAAAAATAATATTTTAAAAATTTTCATATCAGATTAATAGTATAAATTAAAATTGACAAGAAGTATAATTAGTTATTGAATAGTAATATAATTAATTATATCTAAATTTAAATAATACATCACAAAAATTATTAAGTGTAGACTTTTATAAGATTTATATAACCTTTGTAATCCTTCATAATCTTATATAATCCTTTATAATTTTGAATTATAAATATTATGCAAGGCTATATTTAAGTATAAACCTTTGCAATATTATAATTTGTAAATCTTTATAGAATTGCAGACTTTCGCAAACCTTCATAATATTAAAGTGTAAAACTTCACAATATTTACATTTTTTAGTATAAATTTTACAGAGATTTATGTTTAAAATTTTCCTAATATATAAATAATTACAGTTAATAAATAAATTGACCTATAAAATACTTTATGTAACTTGAATATTATTAATATTATTATGAAATAACAACTAAATTAGAAATCTTTTCTTAAGAACTGAAACTAATTTAGATCAGTTTTTTAAACTAATTCTAAAAAAATCTGATTAGTTCAATTCAATATGTAAAACTAATTTTACAAAATAAAATTGAACTGAATTGACACATTTTTAATTAGAAACTGATTCTTAAAAACTAATTCTAACTTGAATTGATTCTAATTTAAACTAACTTAAATCAAATTTTTTAATTAGTTCTAAAGAATCTGATTCAGTTTAATTTAATCTGTAAAACTGATTTTATAGAATGAAATTGAACTGAATTATCTCTAATAAGCAGAGTATGAGTAAGGTATAATAGGCTAACTTTATAACTCTTAAGAGTGTTATAATTATATATAACTTTTTGTAATTTTAATATCTAAATATTAAAGCCTAAATAATACAACTATTCACTAATACTATCCATTAGTGTCACTCATTTAAGGATTGTTTTAGGGATAAACCTTATATGCATTTTGAAAGAATTTTTGAATGCTATAGAATTATTTTTATGTATTTATATTAAAAATATTTTATATAATTTAGATTCTATAAAAGAAATTATCTATTATATATCCTCACAATTAATTACATTTTCTGTATTATTATATTTTCTGATTTTCTGTAATTAATTATATTATTACCAATAATTAATTTTGAGATTATATATTTTTAAAAAAAAATGTTAATTAATTACCATAATTATATATTATGTATATATTTAATTAAAAGAATTATCATTCTAAGTATAGTTATAATATATGTTATAATATTATAAATTATAATATATATAGATTATAACTAATTGTAATATATGTTGTAATATTAAAAGTTATAATATTTTAATTACAATTTCCATTTTTTAGAATAATAATATTTATTATATAATATTATAGATTAAATATTTATTAAATAAAGTAATTATATTATTTGAAGAATATAATATATTATATATATAATTGTTTTTTATTTAATTTACTTTATTATATTTTGAATTTATATAAGAAAATTATTTAATTATTTTTAGATTAATAAAAAAGTATATTATATTTAATTATAAACTGATTTGTAATTTAAAAAAAAAATAATATTTTAAAATCTTATTTTAATATTAAATATATTATAATATAAAAGAAGAGTAATATCACTTTTTTTTTATATAATTAATGAATAATTGGTTAAAATTTTGTCACATCAGTAGTAAAATTTAATTATTATTCATTAATTATATAAAAAAAGTGATATTATTTATGTATTATAATATTATATCATTTTTCCTGACTATAATAAAAGTTTAACAATAAATTATATAAAGTTAATTAATTAAATAAATTATTTAAATTTAAATTATTTTTCATAATTTGTTTTAAAAGAGTCACTTCAAAGAAAAGTAACATTTGTTAAAATATTGTATTAATTTTAATGTATATTATTATTAATTTAAATAAGATGAAATTAGTCTATACTGTTCTGAAATATTAATTATTCAACAAGCTAAACATATTAAATTAACAATAACTTTTGTTCAATATAATTTATAATTACTAAGAAAGTATAAAGGTAGTTTCAAGTTTAATTGTAATTTTAAAAAATTAGTATATTAAAATATTCATATTATTTAATATATTATTAGAAATACCAACTTACTACCATCAATTTAAAAAAACCTTGCATTCTATTTTAAGAAATTAAAAAATATCTAAAATTATAATACGTTATGGTCATATTTAACATACGATAATATAATTTATCATATTAATTTGTAAAAAAGATTAATATAATTAATTATTTTAACAATTTTTCTTAAATTTTAATCTTAATATAAATAGGTTAAGAATAAATTTTGTTTACAATTTATTTTTAGAACAATATCGTTGAATATTTTATTTATATTTTCTTAAACATTAAAATACATACAGTCAAAGTAAACTCACTATAATGAGAGTTCACAATATCGAGAAATTTATTATAAAAAATTAAATGGTGAAAAAAATAATTCATTATAACATAATTTTACTAATAATGGGATTCGCTATAACGAGCTTTGAAGGTACAGTACATTTATTGTAATTCCAATTTAGGTGGTCGACCTTTTTTTGAAAAAGAAATTCTATAATTTATTATACTTTTATGTTTAAAACATATTCAGCTTATATAAATCATAAAAAAGGTATTTTGCTAGTCTAGACCAAATATTAAAAGAAGCAAAACAGAAAATTTATTCATAATGGAATCACGTGATGATGCCAAGAAAATGTTACACTATACAAGTTTAAAATGTCGCTACTAAATCTGACGATTATCATATGCCTCACGAGATTTCTAACCTTGTTAATAATAACATTTATAAAAAATCATATAATAATATAAATAATAATTTCAGATATTTTATATAAACCATGTTGAAATTTTAAAAGGTATGTAGAAATTTATTTCATTGTTCGATATTTTAATGAATTTATCCTAATAATTTTCGATTTTATACTTATATCCCAAGATGTCCGACATCAAAGAACCTGTAACTCGTGATACATTATTAAAAACTGTCAACACATTTCCTATCGTAGATAATCATGCCCATAATCTTTTGAATTCATCAGCATCATTATCCTGTCCGTTGGAAGTTTGTTTTTCGGAGGCTCGTGGTGAAGCGCTACAAAAATCTATTGAAACAAGCGCTTTAAAACGTGGTGTGAGACAACTCGCTAAACTTTATAATTGTGAAGCGACATTAGAGGGTGTTAAATGTGTTACCGATACCCTTTCTTATGAAGAATCATGTAGGACATGTTTTGATCCTACCGGAATTCAATGTCTTTTATTAGATGATGGACTTGATTCATTAGATGGGCTTCGTGATGTGGAAAGTCATGTGGGATTGGTTGAATGCGCGAAGAGAATTGTTAGAATTGAAAGGATTGCTGAACAAATTATTAGTGATTTGGTCATATCTTTTAAAAACTCCGGAAATGATAATTTGGAATTACAATCTTTTCAAGATCCTTTTAAAAATCAACTTGAAACTTTAGCTAAATCTGATCTCGTGGTTTCATTTAAAAGTATTGCTGCTTATAGGACTGGATTAAATGTCAGTTGCGACATTGATTATAATATAGTCGTACGTTCTTTAGCTAAATTTATATTAGAATATGGTGATGGAGAGAAAACTAAAGTTGTTGAAACCAGGCTGCTTGTTGATAAAATTCTCATCGACTATATTTTAAATTTGGCAATTGAAGTTGCAGTTAAATATGACATTCCAATCCAACTTCACACAGGTATGGATCATTTAATTTTTTTTTCAAATATATATTCTTAAAAATTTATATATTTAACAAAATTTCTTTATTTGTTATGTTCATAGGGTTTGGTGATAACGATCTTGATCTTCTTTCTTCCAATCCTCTTCATCTTCGAAAATTAATTGAGAAATATCCGACTGCAAAATTCGTTTTATTACACTCGTCTTATCCTTATACGCGTCAGGCGGGATATCTTGCTTCGGTTTATTCTAACGTTTATGTTGATATTGGTCTTGTATTTCCTATGATTTCTGCAACAGGACAAGAAACAAATTTATTTGAATTGGTAAAACTACTCGAAATTCTATTTATTATTTGGTTTGAATTATTTAACTTACATTTAATAATTCCTTTACAGCTTGAAATCTGTCCAAGCAACAAAATCTTGTTTAGTACAGGTAATTAATTCATGATAATCAATAAAATTTTTTTTTTTAAAAAAAAAATGAGCATTTATTGAAATTTCAAAATTTTAGATGGTCATTATCTTCCAGAATCATTTTATGTTGCAGCAATTCAAGTAAGGGAGGCCTTGGGTAAAGTTTTGTTAAAAGCAGTTGGAAATGAAGATTTCACTATCGAAGAAGCAGTAAAAATAGCCAAACAAATCATGTTTGAAAATTCGAATGAATTATATAAACTAAACTTAACCCCCAAAATCATTTCGAATCAAGGTGATTTTTTATTTATTGATTTTTTAAAGGTAAAAATAAAAGTTTTCTAAAAATCTTAACTAAACTTTTTTTCTGATTCTTTTTTTCTTAGAATATATCGGATCATCTGCTAGAATTTCGAATCTTGCACTCAAAAAACTTAAACACATGGGAGTAAAATATATACGATTGGGATGGCTAGATTTTACAAACATTCTTCGATTTCGAGCAATTCCAATCGATAGATTTATCCAGCGCACAATTACCAGCGGAATAACGATCGCAAAATGTTTAAATACATTCCCCCTTTATGGAGACGTTCTTGTAAAAGAAACGGGTTTTGGTGCTGCAGGAGAATTGTTCTTAAAACCTGACTTGAATACAATTGTTCATTTACCTTATCTTCCTGCGCATGCTTTTGTCCATACATCGTTGGAAAATAAAGTGACTCCCGATGATGTGGCATATCCATCAACTAGCGAATCTTCATCTTATTCAGTATGTTTAAGATCATGCTTAAAAAATATTATGGAACTGACAAGAAAAGAATTTGGAATTGATTTTCTAGTTGGAATTGAATCGGAATTTGTATTATTAAGAGGCGGAAATGTTAACCACCAGCCTTATCAACCCAATGCTGTTGATAATTCGTTGTATTGTGCTGCAGCAGCTTATCGAGATGATAATGCGATCCAAACAATCGAACAAATTCTTGATGCCTTGCAAGATCAAAATATTGAGCTAGAACAATTTCATCCAGAATCGGCTCCGGGTCAATTTGAAATCATCACTGGGCCCGATAATCCTTTGACCGCTGCTGATAAAGTTGTCATAACACGACAAACTATTTATGATGTCGCTGCTAAAAATTTTCTTAAGGCGACTTTTTTACCAAAACCCTTTCGTAATCAAGGTAAATTTTATTTTATCAATGAATTTATTATTTTATTTATTATTATCACTAATATCATAATTGTTATATCATTCAGCCGGAACAGCTTCACATTTTCACATTTCAATTCAAGAAATTGATCCGAGTAAAAAGATTTACGATGATCATCATTCAAAATTATCTCGTAAAGAAAGTTTTTTTGTTGCAGGTATATTAAGCCATTTGAAAGCGATAGCTGCTTTAACTTTGCCAACGATTAGTTCTTATGAAAGAACAGCCTTAGGTGAGTTTTTAACAAAGTACGAGTGCTTTTCCAGTTTGGGCAATTATTAATTAGTTTTCTTTCTAATCACCAAACTTCATACATTTGAAGGTTGTTGGACTGGCAAATGGATCAGTTGGGGTATCGAGAATAGGTAAATTTAATAAACCTAAAGTTAGGTAAAATAATACTTCTGACATAAAAATTAACCTTTTTTAAAAATGAACAAACGATAAAAAATGATAGAGAAACGCCCATTAGAGCATGCTATCTTCCTAGGGAAGGAATGAAAGGAGAAATGGATGTTAACTTTGAAATTAAATGTGTTGACGCAACAGCAAATCCTTATTTAGCTTTAATTGCTATACTTTGCGCTGGAATTGACGGCATTCGAAAAGAATTGGAATTGAAAATGCATTACTGTAATGGTAATATACATTCATTATTTTTCTTATTTTTCGAACTTTATTAAATTTACTTGAACCATTTGATATTAATTGTAAGATGATCCAGAAAACTTATCTTCCGAAACTCGTGCAAGACTTGGAATTACCGAAAAATTACCCGATAGCCTAGCAGATTCTTTAGCCGAATTGAAAAAGGATACAGATCTGACTAGATCTATTGGAAAAGATATAATTCAAGGTTATATTGCTGTTAAAGAGGTATGTAAATGTAAATTTAATTATCCATTATTTATTTTTTGATTCATTTGAACTAATTACATTCTTTTTTTTCTCTTTTCTTTATTTAAGAACGAATTAAAATTCTTTAAAAATTTGTCTCATGATAAAATATACGAAATGCTTCTTGAGAGATTTTAGATACGCAAAGTATAGGATTTTAACAATTAACAATAATATTAAATTTTTACAATTTTATTAATATATATTGGTTTGTTAATTTTTACATATATTTCCGGAATAATGAATAAGCCTTTAATTAAAACTTTGTCACAAATTTTAATCAAATTAATTCTGCATGATGTTCGAGGAATTCTAACCTAATTTTATTTTCATTGATAAATAATTTTTTTTTTTGATTAAATCCTAGATTCCTCCCTTTCTAAATTTTAAGTATTTCACGTATTTTACACTTGAATAAACGTTTATAAAAATTTACATGTAACGTGTGTGTTTATACAATTTAATTTATTATGCAATATAACTTTATTCAACAATTTTAATAAAATCGTTCGAGGAATATTTACATACTATATATAATGTGACATCTGTTGTGATGATAATAAAAATTATATGGTTAAATTGATTTTTTTTTTGAAAAGAAAGATAAATATTTATTTACATATCATCTTCCTTCCAATTCCATTAGTTGTTTCTTTAATTTTTTTATAGTACAATTCATCTGTCCAATTTCATTTTTCAAGTTGTCATTATCACTTTGTAATTCTTTTATCTCTTTCTTCTTCTTTTGCCTTAATCTTGCAGCAGCTTTTCTGTTTAGCATCTTCCTTCTTTCTATTTTCGAATTTATATTGATTTCACAAGAATTACTCGATGAACATGAAGAGGAAGAGATATTGCTAACAGGTTGAATTTGCTGAACATATTCAGAAGGTTGCTGTTTTGTTGAAATTGGCCTTTAGCTCATGTAAGAGAATTCTTATAAACAAGAATATGACAAGGAGCTTACCAAAAGAAAATCATCAATGAGGAAATCATAATCAGGTAATATCTGAAAATTTACTTCGTTTTCCATGATGTTTTCTCTCTTTTTTTTTCCTTTAAGGAAATACAAAAAGAAAAAAGAAAGAGAAATGAAGAGAAAAGAAGGAAAAGAAAAGAAGAAAACTAATAAAACTATCCAAAAGGTACAGTTCTTTATATAAAATCTTGAATTCATCTACATCATTGCTTTTTCTTGCTAAACCCTTTTCCTTTAATGTCTTGATGTCAGTATAAAAAATAAATTTCAAGAATCCAGCAATGCTGATTTAATGAGATTTTATATATGAGGATCTGTTTTCAGGACTCGTGAAGGCGATTTAAAATTTTACCGCCGATTATCTAACTTTTTAAAGTGCCGGTAGGTAAGTATATGCCGGACAGGTAATGAGTATTCGTTTTGTTGAAAGAAATTCTAACGCACACTAGAGAAGGGAAGCATTTTGGTAATATTTTTATAACACCATCATAAAAGATGGTAAATATAATCAGTAGCCTGGGGCCTTTGGAGAATTGATATAAAAATGAATTGAAGTTTGAAATTCGAAATTAATGAATTGTACAATGTTCTTTTAAGTCAAATTTGCAAACAAAAAACGACATTTATTTATGTTGACACAACAAGCGATGGATTTAAAGGTCTTATTGAAAAAATTTAGACTATTGGATTTGGACTAATTGGAAATAGTCCAATAATTTGCAAATCTTAACGTTTATTAGTAAATAGAACCATGTGTTCATAATAGGTAAAACATAACATCTGAAGCAAGTTCAGAATGTTTAAATAGATCTAATATAATGTCCATATACATCGCTCGAGTGTTTCTCTTTATTGTGTAAATTAAATAATCAAAGTACAGTATATTGATACTTGTTCATTTGACAGACAAATGTTTATTTATTTCAAGCGTTTAATCCATTACCTTCGACGACATTTTAGTTAAAATGCCTCGTTTTCGATCGATTATTGATAATTTTAAAGGAAATATTAGGTGATTCAATCCAGATAAAACTTTATATAGACATGCAATTGTTCGATAGAAGTTTTGTAATACCTTCTCTTAAAGCTTGTTACAAATAGTTTTACCTTATTTAAAATCATCCTGTGCATTCGAAATATTATAATAGAAAAAAACATTAAAGTTTCTATATAAATTTTTTTATTTGAAGAAAAGTTCAATTTTAAAAATCAAACAAAACCCGTTTATTAATTTAAGATCACAACCACATACTTATATGTGGCAAGCCTTATTCTTCAGAGTACTGTACAAAGTAAAGAATATATAAGAGATTCCGGAATAGTTAAACGGGTTAATCTCTTGGCAGTGTCATGGACTAAACATACATACTATACATACTAATACCGGTAGATGGTGAACTGCGATTGAGTTTAGGTTGTTTAACCATCGTAATGATTGCAATGGAACCATATAATGTATTTATAAAGGATTATTTAGTATATTAAGTTTGAAAAGATCAAAGAATATCCAACCCTTAAAGCATGAAATAATGAAAATGGTTTATGAAAAATTATTAATTCTCATTTGTTGAAATCAGTATGTTCTGTAAAAACGATGTATAATAATATAAGGAAAATGACATTAGAACAGGTATCATTATTTAAGTCGTGTGAAAAATAAAGATAATATTTTATGAATAGAAAATTACATCGTCCAAAAAATTTATAAGATCGACCAATGATCATATTCAGCCAATTTTTTTGTAGGATGGGATACAATCGTTGAAGTTTAACTTTTGCATTGAATTCAGACGATTTGAGAATTATAAAATCATGAGCTTTTTCTCTTATGTCAAACAAGATATGATCGAACATGGGCGGAACTTTTCATCCAAAGAAGACTCCTATATATTGAACTCACAATACACGAATTTCAAAAGCATCATTATTCACAATTGATCCTAACGAGAAGCAACCAGCCCAACAACAGCCAACAAGAAAAATAGAAACAATTGTTAAGATCATCAAACGTTTTTTTTTCATCAAATCGTTGAAGAAACTAAAATCATGTTTTTCTTTCAGAAGCTTTCTTGGAATTTATTAGATATTTATATACTGATCAAATATATGTTTTAAAATTAATGCTCGTGATAAAGATTCTTTTGAACTTAGAAATGATTACTTGATTTGGCAAAAGAGTATGATTCTAGCGAATTAAAGAATAGAATTAACGAGATTTAATGCAATTAATAAAATTCTCAGTAATTTGCATAATAAATCGTATCCATATTAAAATTTCATTATCTAAATATTACTAGAATGACCAGAAAATATATTGGTGCGTACAAAAAAAATCGGCTTAACTGACAAACATTTATAAAACACCCAAGCATGAATTGCTTGCAGAATTGTTTTACAGACGATGGCGTGCTCCAGGATTTTATATCCTGAGTATCTTTTCATCATTTCTTACGATAACTCTTAAACATATATAATTTACCGAGTACAATTTGTTAAAATAATATAAGAACTATAATCATTAATTTATTTATTATTAAGATAATTACGAAGAGAGCTTTTTTATTTTGGATATTATATTGGAGAAAAAATTGGAGAATTTGTAAATAAAAATTTCAAATGGACTCCAATGGTAAAACTCTCAAGAACTAATAAAATCCATAAAAAGATTCCATGTAAAATTTCCCTTCGTTTGAATGATTAATTCACTCGTTTGCAAATAAAAAATTAAATATTACTTTAAAATGTAAGTAATTTATTTCATTATCGTTAAGAATAGAAGAACGATCACAGTTTTTGTTATGATTGTGGCCACAATGAGCTTTCTTTTTGCTATTCGTGTATCCTATTTACCATAAACTTCAAAATTTATTTGAAGACATCAGAAACAGGGAAGAACGTTCGCAGAAAGAACGACATCACACTGAAGGAATATGCTAACCAATTCCTCCTCTAGAATCAGTAGTAAACCTTCATAGTAGAAAACTTCATTCAAAGGTATGTTTCAACTCCTTGAAAGGTGACGTCACTCACGAAGAGTTTTCAATTCCCCGACATTTTATACCTATTGGCAGCCAACTTCGGATACACAACGACTCGACAAATAACTCAGTAAGATACTTACCCTCTAAAATTTGCAACAGCTTTTATTTTGAAATTCCCTTTTCCATGGCAGATGAAACCTTTTTTTAATTTTTAATAAAAAAAAATATTATAGAGATAAAATAATATTTTCATCATGGTATTAAATTTGAGATAAATTGTTTTTATCATCGGCAGGCATAAAGATTGGCTCTTCGCAATTGTCTACCGTACTTAGTGATTGCAATGAGATTGTGCAAAGTTACTCATAATTCTTGTGCGTCAAGCTGCGAAATATTTTAATAATGGGAGTAAGAACAGTATTGATGTATGGAATAGAACCGTTGAATTTATTAAACGTAGTATTTCGTGGGGAACGGTAAGGTTCTGGTTTGAAATGATCATAAAGCGGTTTGTAAGGATTGGATGGTTTACGGTTTTTACAATCTTTGTATTCATGTCCAGGGGCACCTCAGCTTCGACAATGTTTGGATTGAACTTATGATTGATGCATCGCGTGGTAAAAAGTTGAAAACGCGAGTTGTGATTGGCTGGTATAATTTGTGTTAGAACGTGGGGGTGAAAAATCTTGTGGGTAAGATTCCAGAGCACGTGACAAATATACAAGCAAAATAATTTTGTCATGAATGGAATAACTATATACCAGATTTACTTGCTCATATTGTAGTTATTTTTGAAACTAAAGAGCGAATTTGCAATTCAAAAATACATTACTTTTTTTGTGTTGTCGAATAATTTGAATAATTTTTTGCATTTTCTTTTTTTTTTTTAACAAAAAAAATTATTTGATTTATTCAATCAATCTGAGAACGTCATTCATGTCCATAGTTTATTACCAAATGGTTGGTTGTGCATCGTTCGTTACCCACTCGCTTTCATGTCCAACAAATTTACCTCAATCAAGTGCGTTGCAAATTTTGAAACCAAGGTCAACGAATTTCTAAAAGCATCCCTTACATTGAGTTAGGTTCTTGTCTATGCGAATTACAAAATTGATTAAAGAATAACACATCAAAATACTACCATATGTATGGACCTGGATGAGAAGCGAAAAATCATGTTTCGCTTGAAATACTTGAATTGAATAATTTGAATCGTAAAAATAAAACGCCGGTTTGCCTGGAAAAATAGTGAAATTATTTTCATATTTTCATTGCTATTATTTTCAAGTGGTTATATTAATTAATTCCTTTCTTTGCATTGGAAATACAATCAAAAATCAATATACCACTGTTAGTATTATATGTTCCATAACGTAAATATTTAAGAATAAAAAAATAAGCATCACTAGTAAATTTAGAATAATTATTACTTAATTTCGCTAATTTCATTCGGAATTCTTTAGCAATAAAAGGTTAAGAAATTATTGTATAAGTAAGCGTTCTAAAATAATCTACAACATATTTGACATAAAGTAATTCGTCGTCTTTTATTAAACAAATTTTTTTTGAATGAAATACAGTATTATAAATTTTAACTTACTAGCCGTGTTAAAGTTTGTAACTTCATTTCAAAAATTTTACTACTATTAAAAAAATTTTTTTGGTCGTACGCGATATTTGATGAAATAAAATTGGTTTTATTTGGTATAATCAATCGAAAAAGTCAGCTCACATTTAAGAAATGTGAATTCTTTATGAAGATTTTTGGTAGAGGATTTTTATCCGTTGCTAATTAATTTTGTCGAATTAAAGGCACGTGATTATTTAATTATAAATAAATTTATAAAAAGTTTTGGAGACTCTCCGAAACTTTCATTTATCACTTGCTTCTAATAAAAGTGATTGAAGATTAATCACTTTATAATTTAGAAGCGATAGTACTTCGCAAATTAAAAATTGAAATTTTCTCTTGCAAATAGTTTAATTATTTTATTAAAAAAATAGATCATTTTCTATTTAATATAAATTGTCATACACCTTCCTTTATTATATTAAATAGTTGATCTTAATATTTCACGTTTGTTCATCGTCTGCCAACTCTTGTTATTAAATAAAAAGTTATGATATAGAAAAAAAAATAAGCGTAAAAATCTATTTATCTAATTAAAAGGGTAAGGGATTAAAAAAAATATCCACCAAACTCAAGCTTTAATTCTCAAATACGACACATTGGGGTATTAAATAAATGGATCATAAGAACCTAAGAAAACCTAGTATCGCCAGACCTCTTAAAGAGGAACTCTAACTACCTAGCTTCTGGTCCCAAACACACTCAAATATGATGGAAGGCACTGTCGCAACTAGGCTGACCAACCAAACATAAATGAATGTATTTGAGAATTTTCTTCTCGAGCGGGCCACCCATTAGCACTACCAGAACTCTAGGTCAGATTTTCCAGATAAACATTTTGTTTAAGTACACCAATAAGGGAATAGACAGTCTGGGAGCCCATTGCCAGCAGATACGGCCCTGTATGTACTAGGTATCCTCACCACTTTCGATTTAAATCCCAATGTACGTATAAGAATCATAAAACTTGAGTTGAACGCGAAGGAAAGTAATAAGGGTCCTAATAAAACTATACTAATTGTGGGTCAAGAGGAAACAGTAGAATTTGTTAGAGACATCAAAAAAAAGCCTAAAATACACAAATAACGAATAGTATAATAAATACTTACAATTTTTTAAAATGGATATATAATTAATCATCATCTTAGACGCAATACATCTGCTTAAAGTACGTCACTAAAATTATTTCACAAAATTAGTTTAAAATATGGATGAGATCACAAAAAAAAAGATGGTCACCTGACTAGACGTGCATGATCAATAATTTTTAAAAAATAGTCGACTTTGGAAATAAAATAATACTATTATATATCAAAAGAAAAGACTTTGGTAAATTATTACATTACAGCATGCGATATTATAAGTTGTTAATCATCACCTAATTTTTTATACTGATAATATTATCGCAGGAAAGGGCCAAGAGCGAGCATAAAAGATACTATATATGATTAAATAAAAAAAGTGAAACGTGTAAAGCAATAAAATAATAAAGTCAAATATAAAAAATATTGTTTAAAAAGCTACAAACCTTTTCTCCATATTATTACTTTGTAAACGGAAAGATGAAACGGTAATAGAAGAGCGAAGAAAAAATATCCCTAAAAGAAGCGTAAAAAAGTAAATAGAAAAAAGAAAAAAAAGCAAATAAATCATAAAGATATTACAAAGTTAAAATTTCATTTCACTTGATTTTTTGATGTTAGATATGAGAGAGAAGAAAGAAAATGATGAGTAAAAAGCAAGAGCTACGCTTTTTTTTAATTGATCTTTGCACGTGTTAAAAAGCAAAATGAAATTATTTGTATTAGTAATTTTACTTGATAAAGAGATATAACACGAGTTGATTTAAAAACTTCGTAATAATCATATCACGTGATAATCAACATTTACCAGCCAATAACATTTCAATTAAAAAACTTTTGATTACAATAAATGATAACTATTATATAATATGCATATTAAATATTTGGAAAGTTAGTAATATCTTGTAATATTCAGCATGTATTTGTAGAGAAAGTTGTAAATTCTAAAAAATATTGATTATTAGTATAAAATTTTTTGTTATTACAATATTTTTAATGTCTTAAAATTCTTTTTGTAATTTAAAGTTGATTTCAACTTTTGATTTATAATTATTAATTTCTTCTTCACAATACAGAAGGTATCCAAAAGTTCTAAATGCCTTTTTTGGAAATCAATAACTTTATGATTTTTGTTAAATTTTTGTTTATAATTTATACATAATGTTTAAATTTCATGTAACTGTTTGTTTACTTTACAAAAAAAATGGGAAAAAAATGAATTAACTGTAAAATAACGTAAGACAATATTTTATTGTTAATAATGTAGAGATTTATATCAATAAATTGCAAAAACTATTAGATATAAAAAGACAATAGTTTTTATACCACTGAGCTTTGGACACATTTTGAAATTAATAAACTTCTAAACATGCTGGCTATAAATTGGGAATTATATAAGTCTAATAAGATAAAATTTTATGCATCTGCCGCTATTAAATTGGGAAGGAATAAGACAGGAAAACAAATAAATGGAAAATTATTTAACCTTAAAACAAAATATACAAATGAAAAGAAAAAAGTAACTGGTAAGGCAACTTCTAAGTGGCCTTATTTAAATAAAATGGAAAGTTTATTTGATAGCAGAGAAAATATGAATCCTGATTACCTAATTTTGGCTTTAACTTCAGATGAAAAAGATAAGATATAAATTTTTATTTATTTATAAATAATATAACGCATATAAATTATTAATCACATTATAATTTTTTTTAGTTTACGGTCTATAATAATGAAAATAAAGGAAAAACTAAAAAAAAATAAATGATACTGATCAACTGTATTTGGATGAATTGTGTTATTTACAAGAAATGAAAAATAAATCTTTAAAGATGTGAGACGATTATCTGAAAAGTCGATTAGAATTTAATCGAGAAAAGTTTGAAAAAGAATTTGAAGAAAAAACAAAGGAAAGAGAAAATAAAATGGATTTAGAACATGAAAAATTAAGAATGGAAAATGAAAGAATGATAAAGCAAATAGAACTGGATCATCAATTACGAATGGCAGAACTTGAATTTAAATATAATAATAAAAATACAGAGTGAATTACAGGTCAGTTGCTTGAACCGGTTGATCATATTATTAGAGTTTTTCAAATTAAACTATCAGTCAGATTTAATTTATCTGAAACCTGACCTTTCGAAGCATTAAATATGAACAAAAGATAATTAAACTTCTTTAGTTTATAAGCTCATTTTTATTTTTTTTGTATTAAGTTTTAATAAATGAAATTTCTTTTTATCTAATTAATTATAATAATGAAAGAAATAATAAAATAATTTATTGAAATTATTTTCTAAAAAAAGAAAATGTTTTAGTATATATATTATTATAAAATGATATGATTTTTCTGAATTTATAATTAATTTTTTTTTCTAATAATTTTTTATTTGTTAGAATTTAATATTCTATTATCGTCGCATTTATATTACTGTTGATACTGGATCATATCAAAAGTACTGTGTCATAAAGATCTATAAAAATGTTAACATTCTCAACTCCGTTAACATTCTCAACTTTATTAACATTATCAACATTTTTATATTTAACATAGTTTTATTATTTATAATAATTGGAAATTAATACATACCTTAAGAAGGAGTAAGGATAATATTTTACTAGATAAAATTATTACCTTATGACCTTATGAGTTAGAGAACTTACAATTTATTATAATATTAATAAAGCGTATAATTAACCAAGTTAAAACTTATCCTTCGCAACCCTTTAACCTATGTATATATTATTATTGTTTATTAATTTTGCGTAGTATTGTATTGATTCATTGTATTGATCCTATAAGAAATTTAAATAAGGAAATGATATGTTTATTATAAGGTTTGTATATGTATTTACTGATTCCGTAGTAAATTACGTATATTTTATAATGATTTATTTTTTTATAATTTTTTAGAAAATTGATGTATACGGAATTATTAA